ACTGACGGATTCGGCATTAGGGAATATTCCGTTAAATAAAAGCATAAGCCGTTAAAGATACCTGATGCCATTAGAATATTCCCTCAAAGTTGATGGAATATTCACCTTCTTCTCCGGCGAGTCATCAAATTCCGTCGCCGTCGCCGTTTTGTGTCACCAGAAACTGGGAAAAACTTTAAACTTCAATATCTTTCTCATTTTTCATCCAAATTTCATAAAATTTGCACCAATTTGAAGCTTAGGACTAAAGGAACACTTCCTTACCACTTTTAGGTCCTAAAATCCAACGAAAACTCGCCGGAAAAATTCGAGGAAAACCGGCTAAACCCTGCAACTATATAAACCCGAACAATTCTAACGTCAAAAAACCACTCCAAAATCGATCCAACGTGCTAGAAAAGTAAAAATATTACCTTCATAAGTCTCGAAGCAACCTAAAACCTTCGCGATTCACGTCGGAGGAATTTCCACCCCTCACTGGAGCTCGGGTAACTCAGGTTTTACAAGTCCTCACGTCCAACCAAGGGTATAGAATCGACTTCCGAGCTTGCAAGGAGTCCAAAGATACCATTCACGACCTCGATCCGTGCCTGAAAGGGTTGGTTCACGAGTTGACCTCCAAAGATACCATTCACGACCTCGATCCGTGCCTGAAAGGGTTGGTTCACAAGTTGACCGTACAATTGTACAGAAAAATGGAAGAAATCCGAGAGGGAAGGAGAGAGAGGGTCCACGGGTTGGTGTGTGTGTGTGGTCCAGGTTTGGGCAACCAAACAAAAATAATTAAAACTTAAAAAATCTAATTGGGTCCAAAAGCTAAGGAAGAAAATGGATTGGTCAAAATATTAAGCTTATTCCACACAACACAACCACACAACGTTCAAGAGCAATATAGACATTTCACACCATCGAAAATATATATTTTGGGACAGGTTGTCACATTTGACCCCCCTCTAATTTTTTTCTTTATTTGAATTTTGGGACTTATATTGAATTTTAATGTGTCTTGCAACCTGCATGAATTGGGAGGGGGTCATTTCATTTTGGATATAGAACGAATAGGTTCAAGAGATGAGAGAAATAAGGATACCCACTAGAAAGACTAATCCAATTCATAATGATGTGCCGGAAAATAGAACATTTTTGTTACCCAACCAACCCTCAGGAGAAACAAATACAACAGGTTACACTAATCATTAAGATTAATGAAGTAGCAATTAATGCAAAACAGCCAATTGGAAAGCAATAAGTCATTTTCTAATCCTCCAATCTACAACAAAAGAATCATATTTATTTGATTCCTGGTTTTCAAGACCAGATCTATCAACCACTCGGCCATCTCTCTGAAAGATAATTTCTATTTTATTTTTTATCCCATATTTTATTTTTTCCACCCCATAGAACACAGACATATGTGTTAATACCATTACTATCTACAAAAAGATATCGGGTGTGAATCTATCGGTCTATCTATTATGTATATATATAATATAGATGCATGATCCAGCAAGCATTGCCCATTTGTAAAATTTATAAAGTAAAAAAAAAAAAAAGGATTCATGGTAAAAGGATTTGCAGTCATAAATAGCTCCGATATTGTTATTCATGATATTGATTTGATTCAATATCATCGAGATGCAATGCATCCCATTGAATTTACAGGCGAAAGATTTATTATCTCTCGATGGGATTAACTCTCGAGTTATTGCGAATTAAAGAAAAATTAAACAATGAGATTATGGAAGTAAATATTCTCGCATTAATTGCTATTGCACTGTTTATTCTAGTTCCTACTACCTTTTTTACTTATAATATACGTAATGTGACAATCCGTCCTTAATTTTACGTTTTTATTAATTTTAAAAGCATGGATTTACGAAAATGCCTTAGAGGTAAGGACTTTGACTTCCGTTGACCATCGGTTTGAGAGACGTATGACTTATTCTTTTAGCGTATCCTTGTAGTACTCGTCACTATGAACGCATATGCGAAAGCCGTTTGCAAGTCCGGATTATAACGGTATAGTTACGGACGTTTGAAATTGGTTAAGTACATTTTAGTTAAATATTTTTCAACTCCCACCATATGGGGATGGTAACCAATTTGAGGTGATGAAGGGATATAAGTGACCAATCAGAATTTGGGTGAAAGAAGCCCAATCGGAAATCAGGAAAAAAAAAAAAAAAAAAAAAAAAAGCCCAGCTTTCCCGTGGGTTCTTCCACACATTCAACCCAGTTTGACCTCCAATTTTCCAAGGTCGATTTTGGACAACTCCGGTGGATTTTTTCGATGCCACCACCATCATCTTGAAGTTCTCATTCCCCTCTACAAAACCCAACCAAGAACCACCTTGATTAACCACGGTATGTGGCAGTTTGAGGCCATGAAAGTCGATGAAAATCAATAGTGCTCCGGCCACTCGTTTCAATTTTTCGGCGAATCGGCAAAGCGATGGCCGATGCCACCACTTGGGCTTTGTAGCCCATCATCTCAGGAGTAAATCCCAACCAACCTTGATGTGAAATCCCGTCCCCGGAATTTCACTACTCATTTATGTATCTCGTAATTTAAGTTCGTATTTCACGTTTACGTCATTTTTATTACTTAATTTTAATTCCGTAAATTTTGGGAATTAAATTGAATTAGTTTATCTAATTGGAAGTTTCATAATCAATCTTTATCTTCCGTTGACCTTTCGAAGGTATAACTAGTGTTTTTGAATAGATCTCGAACCCACGAACGCATAGGCGTAAGCCGTTTGCGAGTCCGGGTTTTAACGGTATAGTTGCGGACATTTGAAGTTGTGTTACTAAACTATAGATTTTTAAATTTATTTAAAACTTCTATGTGGAAATGATAGAGTAAACTGTCGTTTACCCCCTGAACTTTCACCTCACTTTCGATTCAATAAAAGAAAAAAGGAAACCTTCATAAAAAATGTAAACTTTCATTGAGTTTCAGTCACTTCCTAATTGGGTTTCTTGTGTGGTTGCAACCTGTTTGAAGAAGAAATGGGTAAGTCGCCAAACACAAGTAAGTCAGTCAGTCACTCACTTGGGTTTTCATCTTTTTGCCTTTTCTATTTGTGGGTTTGTTTGTTCTTGTTCTTGTTCTTTTTTTGCTTATTCCAATTCTCCATCAAAGAATATAATTATTTTTTCTTCTGTTTATCCCTTCGAATTTGTCTGAGTCAGATGAAAACTAAACTGGGTTTCCTTTGTTTTCAGTAATGGGGAATCCCAGTGGGAGTAGAGATGATGGAGAAGGTCCTCCTGGAGTTAACAACTTTGGAGAGTACTGTGATGGATATGTAGAAGAACCCATGTCTCGGAGCCCATCTCTTTTCTTCACTTCCCGAGTAAGCTCTTTTTTTTTTTTCTTTTTGTTTCTTTTTTTTTTTCAGTTTTTCAAAAATTTCATGTGTGTTTGCTTTTGCTTTTTTGGCATCAGAAAATGTCTGAAGAACAGTATTCTCAAATGGGAATCTCTATCTCTTGGTTGGATGTTTGGATTGGCATTTGTAAATTGACAATATTACTGTAAGGGGGTGAAAATTGTTTGCTTTAGTTGAGTGCAATTTGTATTATTAGTTTATGGAAAGAATGTGGCATCATGTATGTGATTTTCACACTTTCGTTGTCTCCTTCGACACTCGTCCCTTTTTTTGTGTCTCTGGAGTCGCAGGATATATTCAATCCAAAGGCTAGAAAAACTGCAAGGTGGAGTGCAGAGAAAAAGGAAGTGCGGAAATCATTTATCTTTTACTGTTTGATCTTTTAACAATCATATGATAGATCTTTCAAGTTGAAGCAATGAACTGAAGGTCAATAATTTATTGACACTTAACAGTGTAATTAGAATAATTTGAAATTTATTCACCTGTTGTATCTGTTGGTTCAAGAAACTGTCTCCTTCTGCTAAGGTTATACTTTCTAGTTTTTTTCTAAATAGAAAACTAATTGCAGGTGAATTTGTCCATTTCAGATACTTGTCTTTTCTCTAGTATTTACTATTTACTGTGATGTACAAAAGGCAATCAAATTCCCCCCTGCATGCCTATAAAGCACACAGGGATGGAGCTCTCTAAATTTTATCTGCATTTTCAGTATCCTGGGGAACCCTTACCAAGACCTGCTGAGGCATCATCGCAACATACAGTAGTTAATCGTAATGTACATGATGAGAAATTGATGTGGACGAAGATCTCATGGAATCACGGTGGAAGCCAAGTTGCTATCACAGGATCATGGGACAATTGGGAGAGTAGGTACTAAATTATATAGCATTCCTTATCTAAAAATTTCCAACTTTGCTTCTGTTGTGAGCATCATTTTTGGCATCAGGCTTTGATATGAATAACTTTCATCTCAATCAGGGAGCTCTTGCAGAGTAGAGACAATGATTTCCTTACCATAAAGTTGCTTCCACCAGGTCTCTACCAGTACCATTTCATTGTTGACGGGTGTTTGATGTGTGATCCAGAATGTCCATGGGTCTATGATAATTCGGGGAGTGCGTATAACATCTTGGATTTACAGGTATTATTATGACTCATAATGTGATCTGTTTCTAGTCCATAAATGATTAAAATGTTATCTTCCTTGTACTAGTCCTTTTGCTCCCCATCCTTTTTTTCGTTATCTGTTCAGGTTTACCTTTCACTTTGGTTATAAATCAAGTTTTTAGGATGAAGTCTTAGTTTATTTGAGTGAAGATCAGCCGTGTTGGGAGCAAATAAACAGCTTTTTTTATCATTTTACAATTTCGTACCAGTGACAACTACACTGTAAACTATAAAACATTGCACTCGTTTGAGCCATTCAGTTCACCTCCATTCACTCTCTCTTGCACAGAACATCTAACGCAAAATTACCTACACCGATTTTCAGCATTTTAATGGTAAGAACCTCAACGCTACAAGCAAGCGAACTGAATCTTCTGTATCACATTATTGGGATTTCTACTTACTTTTACTTGCATTGCAGGAAGAGCTTATGAATACACACCGAACCCCTTATGATCCTAGCCTGTATTTGAACCCCAAATATTACCGAAATCTCCTAATGATAATATGTACATAATTTTTCGATTACATGTGGCATATCCAATAGTACTTGTCAGTCCATTATCAATTCGCCTTGCTGATAACGTTTCTTCGGTGTAATCTTGAGCTGCTTCATGTAGGAGAGTGTGCTTCTTGTTCTTTTTTTCTCTATCTTTTGCACACTCTAGAAGTATCACTTTACATGCTTCATCATTATAGTATATAAATTGATTTCACTCCTCACATGGATTATGCAGGAATGTGTTTCAGAATTGCCTCAGCATCTGGCAATGTTCGAACCTCCTCCATCCCCACCTTCAAGCTACGACAACAGACTCTTAAGCGAAGATGATTTCAGTAAACCTCCGCTGGAAGTACCCCCACAACTACACGTAGCATTTCTAAACAAGCCATCATCCTCCAACAACGGCGACCAGCCACCAATGCCTCATCCTTCACAATTGAACCATTTGCACATCCAGAACCAAATTGGCGGCGAGTTTTTTGCACTCAGCTCTACACATAGGTTTCGTAATAAGTTTGTCACAACGGTATTATACAAGCCACGGAGAATAGCAAATCAGTGATTTTGTATCTTTATTTTGTGAGTAGAAAATATTTCATAGAAGTAATATTGTTTAGAAGATTGCTGTGACTTACTGGGGTTGAGAAATAGTTAATGTAGGTAAAAAAAAAAACCATTTGGATGGTTTGCCAAAATGTAATGAACGTGTTCATTTTGTATATGATGTGCTACCTTTAACAATTTATGCATAATCGAAACTCGATTTTTAGTTTCTTCCTTCAACTCGGCCACGCTTCGCTACCAAATATATATTTACCAATAACTGCAAGTGCATTTCCCATTTACCAGCCAAGAACAGAACCAAAAGTACTCAACCGTGATTAATATATATGAAAAACTCATAACATATACCAAACATATTGGTGAAAAAAAAGACTATGCAAGCAAAACATTTGAGAACAACTCAAATGGTTGAAAAACTCATGTGCTGTTGATTGCTGCTCCTCAAGCTGCAATTAATCGCGGTCGATCATCATCGAACTGGTACCTTAATCCAACCATTAGCAAAACCAATGGCCAAGATTACAAAAGGTGTTGACATGCCAAATATGATGATGTATGGAAGGGGGGTCATCATGGGATTTTCACCTTCCCTTTCTCCTGCTGTTTGCCAATACCTGCAATATTGCATATATTAATTTCTTCCTAGTTTTTTCTTATACAAGCGATATTGGGAGATGGGAGATTCAAAACTTCAAACCTCTGTTGCAAGGGTGAATAATCTTAACCAACTGAGCTACAACCCTTTTTCTATATTTATGTTTAATTACAGTGTGATAATTCTTAACATGTTTTATGAAGAAAAACTACCATTGATAAATTTGGTAACTGATGAAAGCGTGGGAGAACTTACTGCTCTGGTTCTTGTTCTCTGGTTATGAACTTTTTCTTCCCTGATCCCTTATTGACTTCTCCATCTCCACCACCTAACACCATTGAGAAAATTTTCAAAACCTAATGAAGTTGGAAAATTTACATTTAAATATAAGTAAAATAAATGGGGAAAAAAGAGAGAATATTTACTTACCTAATTCTGCATGAATCTTGAAACTGTGTGGCCTCCTCTTGTGTGAAATGGAAGTGAAAGAAGGAGGATATAGTGGCGGCGACGGGGTGGAGGGGGCTAGAAATGTGGTGGGAGAAAAGAAGGCCAACTTGGCTGCCATATTTGTGGGAAGAGCTCTGTGTTGGCCATCTCTTCAGCTGCACCACAAATATATGTGAGTGGTTTTGGATATGGGGTGTGGTGTGGTCACGGTGGAGACAGATAGTCAGTCATTGGTTGGTACTAACCTTATCCAACCCCTCTCCATATATACAGGACGGAGTTAGAAATTTCTTCTAGTGGGGGCAACCGAAAACAACTAAGAAAACCTTATTATATTATGGTTTATACGCAAGGATGGTTTCAAATGATGATGTATCACAATTCCAATGTTACAAAAATTTCAATATAGTAGTGGAAAGTGGCAAAGTGATGAGAAAAATATAAGTACATGATAGAAGGAAGAGAGGTTTTTTCGGTTTGAATGACAGAACAAGAGTACTATTGCTCATATAATATTTGATATGGAGTATAAGTAGAATGAATGTATGTTGGATATTAGATGCATATATTTTCTTCAAAAATAACTCATGTATATTATATAATTGTAGTTTGCAACTAAACAAATGAATTACTTGAATGGGAGCATCTGGCCCGAGTGAGCCTTCATTGGCTCCATCCATGCATATATATGACCAACGTACCCCAACACTCAAGTCTCAACTTCAAGTAACCCGTTTCATTTCTTAATTTGGGGTATTTTTTTTTTCTTAACAAGACTCGTTCGAGACTATTTTTATAAGAATCAGTGCTCATTAGCACTTTTGTTAACAGTTTTTTTTTTTTTAATATTATTATAAACACATTAAAATCTTTATTACAAATTTTGAAAAAGCTAGTGGAATTGTTTTCTAAAGAGTTACCTGTCATGTGCTTATCTAGAAAACACTTCTATGACCTCGAAGTTTTTTTAAGTTTTTCTGCCAAAGGTAATAATAAATTGCAATCATGTAAACTTTTTAAGTTTTTCTGCCAAACATAATCATAAATTGCAATCATGTAAAAGCATGTATGAAGGTAAAGTTGGAAATTTTCAAGTCCAATAAATACATATATGAAAGTAAATTTGGTGTTTCAAGTGTTGTAACTTGATTTCCATTATTTCTTTGCTACCAAAAAGCTAATTACCAATACGTTTTAGCATTTTGGCATACCCTTCCAATTTGTTATTTTTAACCTACGATATTATTTACACTAAAGGGGAGAGGATGGCTCAGCCTCACAATGGACTTGCTAATGTAGTTCAAATTCGTCTTTGACGAAAATCGAACATAAATTCTCTCACTTACAAGTAAAGAAGAAAACTACTAAACCGTATAACTATAAAGTGGCCCCCAAATTAATGATACAAATAATCGTAAAAATAGATGGTAAATATAGCATCACCCTTTTACTATCTACCCCAAAGGGAAAAATACTTTACCAATTCTACCAAGATGACAGCCATGGCCTAAATAGACCATACCTACAACCAAGGATCAAAATATCGATAATATCGGCAAAATATCGCCGATATTATCGTTTTTTTTAGATAACGATATTTTAACAGTTATCCCTTAATTATCGTCAATATATCGTATAATATCGATAATATCGCGATATGATCAGTAAGGGTATTGATCTTCTGGTCCAAGCGCGAAGATGCTTTATTGTTTGGGCTTCGGGTCCTTTTTATAATCCCTCCATCAGCTTCTTCTTTATGACTTGGGCGATGTGGGACAACAGCAACAACTCTAATTTCACAATTGTATTGTATTCTTTGCTTTCCCATTCAACAGCCACCGGCTTTATCCAACAAAATTGCGTTTTTATTATGGATAATGATCTTTTGGACTTATACGAGTTGCAATTTAGTTTTTCAATTACCCACCAAAGAATTTAAGGCTACTTCGATTTATACATTTTAGGTTGGGGAATGAGTTTAACGATGAGTACTAATTTTCTCACATTGCACCATTAGAAAAATATCATATTGATATACATCTTTTGGTTATTTGCTAATTTGACTGTTCGCCAGAATAATGATATGATAGGCATTCGATTTATTTGTTGGCTAACGAGGGAAACCAAACTAGCACATATGAACAAAAACTCGTCATTGTAGAGCTTCGGCTTCTATTCAAATTAGTAACATGAAAGGAAAATCAATCATACAATTTAGTCTAAATTGTGGAAGTGACGTTTCTACGTCAATCTTATATTTACTACATCATCAATTTAATTAAAAACCTATAATTACCTAAGTAGAACCGTTCATCTCATTGTGGTGTCTTCGATTACCAAAACATAATCATGTACTATGTCTATATGATTTTGTATTAACAGGTTGGATAAAAATATCACTCAAAATTTTTATATGGCTTTCAAAATTGACCAAACATTTTTCTTTTTTCTCGAAACTAGATGATGTAAAATGTGATTAACCAAATTATTATTATTTTTAAAAAATAAAGAAAAATTAGTATCCGATCCCTAGTTTCTAATGTTCATTGACTAAGATCTTATCGATTTTTATATTTTGATCAAAGTCCCTAGCATTAATGAATTACATGTAAGTTACATAACTTTCATAACAAAAATTAGTAATTGATTTAGAGTTTTAATAATCACATCCTTATTAAACTCCTAATTAATTTTCAATTCAAACATTTCAGATATATAAAAAATAAAATAAGAATAAGTTTGTACTCATTATAAGAATAAGTCACTCATGTATCTTATCATGTAATGTATAAAGTATAAAATATTGTACTAATTCATTATGTATAAATGATTATGATGTGTTTAAACTTCTTTTATTAATTACTACATATTTTCTACACTCACAATATTTGCCAGCTCGCTATATAATCAATTTAAATCAATTAAATCCATCATACAATGCATTTCCTTCCAATTTTTTGTGATAAACTAATAGATAATTGACTAAATAAACATCCTGAAGAGTTTCAATAAAAATTTCTAAGTTTTTCTTACAATTTCCGTGGTTTCCATATTATTTTTATCGATATCGATAATATCCCGATATTTCCATCAATATTTCCATATTTTTGGACTACTGATATTTCTGATATTATCGATATTTTATACCTTGCCTACAACCCAATTGCGATATATGTCCCATAAAACATAGTAAAACTGTCATTTACCAAATTGTTGCGGAGTTCGCAATCAAAGGCAGTTCCTCGCTACCGGCTTTTGATTGTGACCCGCCACCTCGCTACCCATAAAAATATACAGACAAATTTCCCACTTTCAAATTCAAAGGTCTTCCTTTTGGAATTTGGAAATTCTCTTTCCTGTCCCCTGTCCTCTCCACTCATGTATCTACAAGTCATCGGTCAACTGATAAATCAAAGCCGTTGATCCGAAAGACATTTCAACCTTTAAAATCTATCTGTGCTGCTCAAGGATTGGATTTTGACCATAAACCCTGTTTTTTTTTCTCCAGTTTTCGGATGTGGGTTTTGTGATTTGATTCTTGCTTTCCGGGCTTTGATTTGTCCTGCCAAATTCGAGTTGCAGCAAAAGGAGGCTCGAAGTTGCAGCAACTGGAAGCTCAGATTTCACTCCCATGGATGCAATTAGATCAAGTTTTGGCTGATTTGATCTCGTCGCACCGACTGTTTTGGAGGTTTTTGATCCCTACCCTTTTGATTGTTCACTCTGTTCTCAAATGGGTCGGTGCTGTTTTGAAGTTTAAATACTTGGTTGTGCTTGTTTGAGAGAATTAAAGACTCCGTTTTCTAGCTGCAAGTATTTGGTTTTCCACTTTTTCTGCATATCTGGTTTCTGAATTCTATGAAAATATGAATGGTGTGGCTGTAACTGTCATATGAAGTGTGTTTGTTCCCATAACTGCTGTTGAATCTATGGCTATTATCAAGAAACACCGTCTAAAGGATGCAGCGGCTTTTCGCCGTTTCTTGCCATTGGTTTCTATTACGTTGTTAGGGGTTTTCCTGCTGATGTTCCTCCTGAGATTTAATTCAATTTCAAATTTTGTTACGCCATCTTCGGATGATTTTGGTGAGGTATCGATAAGGACTGGTA